CTCTTCAAAAAGTGATGCTAGATTTGGTATTTCCAACTGCAACAACTACCTCACCACAAAGGGGGAGGACACTTCAGGGTCTTTATTTACCATCATGGTATCTGAGGGACTGGCTATGAATGGCTGATCTTTCACCTTAACCTGGAGTTAGGAATGTCCACCACAATACTTGCTGTCACATATCTGCCAACGGTGGCACCTCTGAATGGAACTCAAGCAGATTCCCTCTCAGCCTGACACGCTGTACCCCAGGTATGGAAGAAACATTCACGGTTGCCTCAAGGTGGGTACAGAAAGTGAGTGACTTTTGTGCCAGGTGATACAAGTTCATTTTAAAAATTTTATTTATTTATTTAGTCTTTTTGAGACAGGGTCTCACTATGCCTTGGGCTCACTTTGTAGCCCAAGCTGGTTTTAAACTTGCAGCTATCCTCCTGCCTCAGCCCTCCCGAGTGCTGGAATTACAGGAGTGCGCCACCATTCCCAGTTTTATAAGTTCTGAGAAAAGTTTTTCAATTCAAGAGTTTGAGAATTTCAGAGCTTTGTAGGTGCTGGTGGCCAAGGTCCCTAGTCCCACAAGATGAGGGGATGCTTAGGAATGGGAGAAATCTTATTTCCCACAGTATTCTAGTTTAGGGTAAGGGAAGAATTTTTGGGGGGTAATAGCATCATTTAAAAATGCAACACTTTTAACTTTTTCCCTGCTCCTTAGGATGACATCAGTTTCCAGGTTCCAGAGGTGACAGACCTGCAGCACACATAGCATTCTAAGACTGGGACCACGTGCCAACTTGGCTCTTGTAAAGCATCACCGAACGCCTGGCTGTTTCTGATGATGGGAGCACCCCATCTCTGCAGCAGGATCACCTGTTGTCCTCACAGCCACCAAATCATCTAAGTGCCACTGCGGGCCACAGCCTCATTCTCTTGTTCAAAGACAGTAACATGGGCCCGCACATGGCACAGACCAGAAGAGCATGGGCATCCAGGAACCTTAGAAACTCACGTTCTATCCTGGAAACAGGGAAATTGCGTTTGGGGATGGGAAGAACCCTAGCTCAGGACACTTAATCATGGGCATATCTACACAGCTGTGCCCATCCACAGTGACAAGAACGCTGGCCTACATGTATTTTTCCTGGGGAACTGGCTACATGCTTGATGGGGTGACGTCTGATTTGAAACATGCACACATCCCCTGTGCAATTTAATGCAGATAAATGCTTTACATGATCAGCTACTCTCTGGAGTGCTAGAAATGCGTTTTCTTTAAAATGTCCATAAAATAGCAGAGAGCATTAGAGTTAAGGGAAAATGCAAAGAAGCCAGAAGGGATGCATCTTTTTGCTGGAAGGAGGATGAAGGAAGACCCAAAATGTGACCATTTTAATTGTTCTACAGTCATTTCAGGTATGTTTTATTATTTAATCTTAGTCAACAGCAGTGTTTACAGCATCAAGTCGTACTAAATAAAATATGCGAATCTGACTCAAATTTTTTACTCTAATGACAACACAGACATTTGAGTCCTCTAAACTTTATGACTGTGACTTCAGCCTCTTCTGGCTTCACTGTTGCCATAATATCTTTATTTATGGGTTCATATTAGTCTAAGAAATTCATTCAACAACTGCTCAGCGAGCCACTGCCTGGACAGTGTTGTTTCGCTAGGCCCCGAGCATCCAGGAGAATGAGGCCCAGGCTCTGGACTCATTAACACCTGGCATCTCCTCCTTGCCCCACAAGCACTGACTGGATTGGCTCTGCCCCTTTCTGTCACCTTTCCCCAGGCTCTGTTCTCTGGGGCCTATCTCTTACAGACACACCCGATGTTCCTCGAACACCTCTGAGGCTATTCTTACCCTAGGGCCTTTACATTTGCGGGTTCTTTTTCTTAGAAAACCATTCCCTCAGGCCCCCTCCCTGCATCCAGGGCTCTGTTCCAGATACCACCCCCTGAAAGCCAATTCTGTTTAAAGGGAAAATTTTCTCCACCCTTGCTTGCAGTCATCCCTCATCCTGCTTTATTCTTCTCCAGAGCCCTACTCATCACCTGAAATATTTTATCTTTGTTTAGGATTTGTTTTCTGTCTCTCCTGGTAGAGCTTAGGCAGGAAGTTAATCTTTTCCAGCAATGCATCCCCAGAGCCTGTAGCAACCTGGCCCTGAACAGATACTCATATGGAAATGGAGAATGAATGAATGGATGAATGAATGAACTAACGTCTGCAATCTGCAGTGCTTGGTACCTGCCCCCTTTCCCTCCTGCTCAGCTCTTTCTGTGAATGGCAACCTCAGCCATTCAACCTCACAGCCTTGTCATCACCCATTCCTCCCTCCCTCCAGCGACCACATCCAATCAGTTGCTGGTATAGTGACACTGGGGCTTCTTGCATCACCTCCTTTTCTCTGTCCATTCTTACAACCACTCCCAGCACAGAGCCCCATTCTGTCTCCCCTGGACCACTCCATGGCTTCTTCCTTGGGCTCCCTCCAGCAAGCTCTCTTTCTCCAGCCTGTGCTCCACCTGGGCAGCCAGAGTGAGTTTCCTCATGGCCAGTGTGGCTGTGTCTTTCCCCTACTCAAAAACTAAAGGCCACCTCCTTAGCTTTGCATTCAATGACCCCAACAGCTCTCTCCATCCTCCTACCCACCTTCCTTTCCACGATTCTTCTATCCTTTTGCTTCCAGTTGCAACTTATTCCTTTCTGGCTCTCTTAGAAGTCCTTATTCCTGTCTGCCTTTTGCTCATGCCACTTCTGCTTCTTGAGTGTTGATGCTAATATTAAGATTTTTAAGATCACTCATGTTAAGGCACAAATTTCACAAGATACACAAGAGTTTATCAGATGGCTTCATGGATGTCTTACTCTGTCTGAGCACTAAAGGACTAAGTCAGTAGGGGAGAACTGTTTTGAGAGAGGACCTAAAATCCCACATCCTTGCATGATCTGAACAAGGGAAGAAGTAGAGGGAAGATTCATGACCTGGGAGCCTAATGGTATTGACAGTTACACATTCCTAGCTTTTTCTGAGCCCTACACAGTATCCTACACATGTTACTGCTGTAAATCTGTAACTATTCCCACATAGAGTAGGAGAAGCCAGGCCCACTGCAGTTATATAAATATGTGCTTTTCCCCAATAAATAGTTCTGAATAGAGCTGAAAATCTCCGACTCCATAATCTGGTTTTTCTGATGAAGAAACTGAGATTGCAGAGAAATTATAAGCATTTACTGAAATGGTACAGCCTGTGAGGAGCAGCCTGGGCCTGGTGGGAGACCCAGAAGGACAAAGCCCGGGGCCACTGTTCATTATAAAGGGCGTGCCCAGGGCACAGTGCCATCTATGTGGACTACGAAGTCAGCAGCAGCAGCCCTTGCACTGATGCCACTTGGCCGCCCCAAGAGCTATCTATGCTCTGTGCTGTTTCTCACCCTACTCAAAAAGGAAGCTCCTGAGACAGAGCCTCAGAGCCTGATCCTGGAGATGGATCACGGTCCGTGCCAACTGTCCCATCTACAGTCTCCTTGAAGGTGACCAACTGCATCCATTTACCCTCCAGCTGAGCTTGTAGTCCCTCAACCCACCTCTGGGGGCACCCTCTCTGCACTAGGCATCAGACTCAGCTCTGGGGTCACCGCTGTCCTTGAGGGAGTCTGGTGGTGAGACACCATCAAGTCTCATGTGGCTGCAACTCAAGCTTCCTCACTGCTTTGTCTGCGATGCCAAGAGCCACAGGACACACAACAAGGAAGAAGAGGCGGCGGCCTGATTCGAGGGACCTGGAGACCTCCACAAAGAAATGATGAAAGGTGGCTGGCTGGAGTGGAAAGGGCCTGGTTGGGCCCTAACACAGGATGGGAGAGTGAGTGGGAGGCCACTCAGTCAGGTCAAAGTGGGGGAAAAAGATGAGTCCTTGAATGCCACATCACCTGGTCCAAGTGAGGACACTCAGACTCGCTGACTCCTAGAAAGGACTGGCACCCTGGCATCTAATCTCCCCCCAAGACTGCCTCACTCTCCCAAACTGAACCCCAAACCCGGACTGCTTGTAAAACAGAGTTCTCATCTGAGGCTGGATAAGGCAATCGCAAGGTCAGTTTTCTCCTTTCCCACACAGTAAGCACGACAGCACAGAACGGCACCGGCTGCTCCAGGTGGGGGCAAGGCTGGAAAGATCCATGCAGTCAATGTTGGGGTTCCGGGGCATCAATGGGACAGGTTCTACTTGTGGAGGGAGGAAAATGAATACACAAGCCAGGTACCTCAAATTCTAATGTAGATTTTCCCTACCAACTATCAGGTGACCTTGGTTGAGCCACCTCACTGGGCCTCAGTTTCCCCATCTATCAAATGAAGGGTTCCATGGTTCCTCTGGTTCTGATCCTTTAGGATACTGATTCTTGATAAGGGAAGCGCCTCCCCCCTCCCCATTCTGACTGGTTAATCTCTGGGTTTTGCAGGAGCCTGGGCCTCATCCAGGAAAATGCAATATGCTGGGGGAGGGGTACGCGCTGGGTTTTTATTTTGGGAGTGGGTGGGACACGGCTGGTTAAGGCTAAAGGGTTGGGGAAGGTGAAGCCGTGGGCAAGCTGGGACCCGCGGTTTAGAAACTAGCAGGCCACAGGCGATCCCGGCCTCTTTCCGAAGGTTCAGACTCTGGAGAGAAGATGCTACCAGGAGCCGCGCACCAGCCTGGTTCGTTGAGGCTGGGACTTGGACCCCTGTCTTCATACCTCCCCAACCACGCAAGAGCTTCGTGGGGAGTGGCTGCCGCTCCCTCCCAGGACCGACCCCCTCCTCCGCGGAGGGGAACCCCTCCCCCAGCCCGGGGGGCGCCGGGAGCCCCATGGGGGGCGTGGCGGGGGCGGTCGCCCGCGCCCGGGTCTTGAGGGCTGCACGAGATCTCAGTTTTTCTGACGCCCCAGGAGGGACCCCGCAACCTCTGCCTTCCGGCTTGACACACAAAGGCGCCGACGGGGGCGCCGCACTTACCGGCCAGAGCGGGCTCCAGGCGCCGGCGGGCGGGCGAGCCGGTGGGCAGGAGGGTGCCGGGAGGCTGAGCGCGCGCGAGGGTGCGTGTGTCTGCGTGTGTCCCTGTATGTGTCTGCGCGCGCGTGTGTGCGACGGGGGCCGCGCCGAGCTCTGTGCGTCTGCGTGTGCGGGGGCGTCCGTCGGTCGGTCCGTCCGCCTGAAGCTCAGGACCGCGCTCCGCGCGCGCGCCCTAGCTAGATCACCGAGCCGAGCGCGCTTCAGCTGCGGAGTTCCCGGCGCAGCCGCCGGGTCTGCTCGGCACCCCCGGCCCCGGCTCCGCCCCGCCCCCGGGTACTGCGCAGAGCTCCGCGGGGTTGGCAGGGTGGGGGCGGGGGCGCTCCGGCGGTGCCCACGGCCCCAGGCGGGCGGATCGCTGACCTTTGGCCTCCAATCCCCTCGCAGGCGCCCCCCACCCGCAGCCAGCCAGCCAGCTAGGAGTCCCCGCAGGCCCCGCCCCACGCCGAGGTGGCCTGGGCAGGGAGGGCGGGGGAGTCGGAGCGCCGCTTGCGTTCATTCATGATTTTCTCCTGCAGGGAGCTCTGGGTCGGGGCTGCGTGGCTACTGAGACCGCCAGGGGGACTTCGCCAGGGCCGAGCGCACCGAATCGGGATTTGGACTGACAGGCAGATAGACCGGGGTGGAGGCATGGGACACGAAGGGGTCTGAGCCGGGGTGGTGTTGGGGGGCGGGATACGGAATAGTGCTGACGCCTGCAAGGTGTGGCGCTGACCTAAAATGCGGACTCCTGCACACGCGGGGCGCACCTAGGCGCGCGGGGCGGGGTGCCCAGCACCGAACCGCCTTCGAGAGAGGCGAATGGTTTCCTGCCCCTTCCTGTTCGGTCTTTGGGGGAAGGACAGCCAGTGGCTACTTCTTCCTTCACCTGGTGGAGTCCTCCTGACAGGCGTCACGGGGCGCGCACCTGTTTTGGTTTTCTTGTGGGTACCAGGGTCCCATATGTTCAAGGGAGCCGCCCATGCCCCCCCCCCCGCCCCACATTTCAGGCGAGCACCCGGGTACTCCGAGGTTCCAGCTAATCCTAACCAATGGGGGCTTTTTGAAACACTGGGCTGCACCCTACACCCCGTTTTTGCATGAGGAACCGAGGAGAACACCACACGGCTTTTTAGCCTGGATCTGCAATACCCCCCCCCCCTTTTTTTAAATTTATCTCCCAGACTCCGCTCTTGGCCCGCCGCAGTTGATTCTCTACGCCACGGCAGCGCAGAGCTATCCTTTTATAATGTAAGTCAGATAACCTTGTTTCTTTACGGGAAATCCACCCTTGAATTTATCGGAAATCCAAGTGAAAGCTGCAGCCCCGTAATGGCCCTTCGCAAGGGGCCGGCTCCCTTTTCATTTTCTAACTTCACCTTCTGCGGTTACCGGTTACCATCCTGGGGTCCGCATGCCCTCGAACTGGCCTATCTACCGCATCGCCAACAGGGCAGCCACCTTAGGATCCCCGCACGTTGTTACATGGTGCTTTAGGCCTGAAGTGCCTCTACCCTGCGTTTTGCCTAATTTTCAAGGTCCAGTTGGAATCCACTCCTTTCCCCAGGAAGCCTCCCTGATACGTCCACACTCGCAGCCCTCACTACTTTGTGTCTGCATTGAGGAAGTTTTCTTGTTTTTTCTAGCTGCATTTTCCCCCTGGATTCACTGTCTCCTAGGAAGTTGGGGCTGGCTGGCCTGTGGCCACCGAAAATGACCTTGAAAAGCCAGTTCTGTCTCTTGAACTTTCAGAGCTATGGGCACAGTAGTGAGTGTGGTTCATGCTGCCCATCTCAAAGGGTTAAAAATGAAAATATATCTAGAAGATGGTAAAGGTTCAGAAATGATCTCAGTCCAGCGTGTGTTGCCCGCCTGTGATCCTGGCATCTGGGAAGGCTGAGGCAGGAAGATTGCAACAAGTTGGCAGCCTGGGCAAGTTAAACTTAGCAAGACATTGGCCTTGTCTCAGAAGAACAAACAGAAAAGGGCTGAGGATGTGGTCCCATTCAAAGGCTCTGTTTCCATCTTTGTTACCCATCTACCCTAAGTTTTCTTTTTTTGTAGTGAGTTTCTATTAAGTAGAACCATAGTTTAACCAGTCTCCTCACCCTGATTCTGCCCTGTCCACCTTCTTACCAAAGAGTTTTAGATTCCCACATTCATTCTCACTGAATGTCATCCTGGGAGGAATGATCCTGCCTTCTATAAGAAGGAAGAGTGGAATACCTGTTGAAGTCTTCGTAAATAAGCTGGGCCTGTTGCTTCCTTGGATTCTGTCCTCTCATCTGCACCAGCACCTTAGGAGCCAGGTGCCGTTATCACCAACCAGGAGGCTGAGCCCAGAGAGGTCCGGGACTTTCCTGCCATCAAAGCGCTCACTTGCTCTTGCTTGCTCCTGGCTTTTGCCTGACTGCTCACTGGCCAGCAGGCCTTCCTCACTACTTCCCCATGGGACGTGTCTCTGGGGATCTCTTTGCTCCGTCTAGCAGGGGAGCAAGAGACAGTGATGTAGTCATGAGGTCAGGAGGATTTCAGAGGCTGTTTGAGTCATTTTGTGTGACTCACTCTCTGTTATTGGTGGGAGGTAAAGGGGTTTGGGAAAGAGGAGGGGGAGAGAGAACAATGATCCGAGACCCCATAGCTTGTCTTACTAGTGGTTTTTCAAGGACCCTCAAGAAGTAGCAATATTTCTTGATTTTGGCCCCTCTTGCAATCCGCTGTGTTGATAATGAAATGTTTTCCTTTGGTGAAAATGTTCTTCTGTCCAGACTTCTTACTTATTTTCTTATTTATAGCCCACTTCAATCCACAAAGGAGCTGAGGTAGCTTACCAAAGAAGCAGAAAGCATAAAACAATGTTAAGCTATCAATAAGGATGAAGAACCAGGATCAAGGAAAATGTAAATAAACTTTGGGGGTAACAGCCGGGTTCAGTAATTATGGACAATTTTATTAAGTTCTTCCTGTGTGCCAAAGAATTTGCCCAATTATTTCACTTAATCCTGAGAGGAGCCCTGTGAGGTGGATACTATCATCATCTTCATTTCAAAGGAAGGGGAACTGAGGAATGAAATCTGATGTGTAGAGTCTTGTGGCTGGGAAGGGGTAGAGTCAGTCCTTGAATTCAGTTTGATACTTGAACTCACGCCCTTAGCCACTGTAGCATGTCACCTCACAAAGGGACACAAAGTCCATGCTCTGTCTTGATCTCTCCTTTTATGATGGCATATTTTGCTTTTTAATATATAGAATGTTATAATGTATACCTCAGAGGAGGGGGTGATTAAAAATTTATGACAGTAAAAGACACATTGCCATTAATCCCCCTCAAACTACCCCAAAAGGCCCTCCCCCCCTCCTTGAACATGCTTTTCTCATTGTTCTTGGTGATATGCCTTCTATTTTTACTGTGATGTTTTTAAAATCTAAACATTTACTGTATTTTTCAATCAGCTCTTCCCTATTGCATATGTTCTGTATTATATTCTATATTAATAAATTTATTTGTGAATTATGTTAGCTCTTTTGCCTACTTAATATATGCACTGTTTAAATACCTGTGTTTCCCGCACAAGACAAGATCCACATGGGTGTGAGTCCTTATCTTTCCCACCATTGATGTATTCTAGGTGTTGAGGACAATGCCTGGTATATAGTAGTTATTCATTCAATTTTTGTTGAATGCTAGAATGATTATTTTGGGGGAGATAAAACACCTATGTATCTGAAGTGGTAAAGTAGATTATTATTTTCATTAGGTCATACTCCCTTCTCTCTCCCTGTATTTTCCGCTTTTCCCCTACTTGCTTCCATGAAGAATTTGGGATAGCATTTACCTCTGAGAACAAGTCATCAGGAGAGCTTTCTGATGGTGGACCCATAGGACTGATGTCTTCAGTGGGATTTATAACCTTATTTTGACACACTCTCTAGTTGAAAGCTAGAAATTCTCCCCATATCTTTTAGGAGTCTAGGAATAGTGCTCAAGTGCCGTATCTTAAGGATTTGGGGTTTTGGATTGGTACTATGATGATGCAGATGAGAAAATAAAAGTAGCACTTTTGTAGGAAATAATCGATATGAAGGGGGAGGCCATCGTGGTGTTCTAAGATCTCACCTCTGGGCTTGTATCTTTGGCTGTGATCCTGAAGGGTGAAAAACTAATCAACCAAGGGCATTGGCAAGGTTTCTCAGAGGAGAATCTGAGTGGAGACCAACTATTGGGGAGTGTGCTGCGGAGGTGTGTGTGAGTGCGTGTGCGTGTGCGTGTGCGTGCGTGTGTGTGTGTGTGTGTGTGGTGTGATGTGAGCTCCTTGGAGGGGCTGGCTACAGATTGGACCAAGCCTCCGGGAGTGGCAGACACCAGCCTATTGGCTTGAGGTGAAGGTCGAGGTTGTCTGGCTGCTGATCTCAGGAAGTAATATCAGAAACTCTTGTCTCAGGAGGAGGGAGAATCAAAGCTTTGTCTGTTCCGCGTGCTCATTGTTTGGGGCCGCTGGAAAGCACAAGCACTGAATGGATGTATCATTGAGGGCCTACCCTGAGCTCACTGCTGCTGCAGAAGTGGGGTACACAGTGAACAAGCAACATCTCTGATGCTATGACATGCTGACACACACACATCCCTGACACACTGACAATGAGCCAGGTTAAAATATGGAATAACACATCATGTCAGGCAAAGGTCAGTGCAGTGAAGGAAAGCAGGAGGGCACGTGGATTAGACTGGAGGTGGAGAGCAATCACTTTCAGCTAGGTGCTTGAAGAGTCTCGCTGAGGAGATAGCATTTGCACAGAGATTTCATCTGTAAGAAGGAACCAGCCCCTCAGCATAGGGTAGAGCCTACTGGGCACATTTTTCTAGGGATATAAGTCAAGTGAGTGGAGAGAGGAGGGCAGGTACTAGATCACACGAGGACATGGGGGGTTTGGGGTTTTATTCTAATTGATGGGCTACTGGAAGTTTCTAGGTGGGGAGACTGATGAGGACTGGTCGTGGGCTGTGTGCATTAGAGAGCACTGAGAACTCTGCCCTCCTGTGCTGGAAGAGGTCTCAGAGGGGCAGTTATCTAGCCCAGTGCTTCCCCACTGACTGTCTCAGAATGGTCCTGGAGAGAGCACTGTTGAAAAGCGCGGAGCTGTGGCTTCTACCCCTGGAAAATCTAACTTGGCTGGAATCAAGTTGCGGTCAGTGATTTTTTAAAATATTTATTTATTTAGACAAAGTCTCACTGTGTAGTCCAGGCTGGCCTTAAACTGGTATCGCTTCTCCTGCCTCAGCCTTCTAGGTGCTCGGATTACAGGTGTGTGCCATCATGCTCCTGCTGGCTCAGTGATTTTAGAAAAGTTCCCTAAATGCTTCTGCTGATTGGCCAGGTTTGGGGGACAAGCAATCTCGTCAAGACTTTTTGGAGGAGGCTGAAAAGCAGGCAAGGAAAGTGCCCTGTGAGGTTCCATGGTACCTGAGCAGTAGTGCGTGGTGGTCTCTGGGATCACCTGCACAAAGCATCATGATTCACCTAGGCAAAGGGAGTTCACTGAGGCCACGCAGAAGCTTGAAGAGGGAGAGGGCCTGGTAAGGTGCAAGCTGGAAAGCTCCAGGAGTTTGAATGGTGGAGGATATTTCCATAGTCACAGTCAGACGTCCCCACAAAGGTGCATGAATACTGAAATTTACCTTTTTTCTGCCACTCAAGGCTAAGTTTCAGAAGAGTGAGAGCCCAGTTGGCTGGGTTCTGCTTGTGGGCTTCTTCTACTGGCTAGGGGAGGGTGGATGCACCCTTACTTGTGGTCCTATCAAGACTTTCTCCAAGACGGCATTCAAAAGGGGCTGTTAACCAAAAGAACATCTCATAATGAGCAGAGGGCTACTGTACCTGCTGCCTCAGATGGCTGTAAGATCAGTCATCACAGTCATAATACACTTATTTAATAAACATGGTGTGCTGGTCTAATGGTTGATACATTGTGTCAACTTGAGAAGTTTAGACATTTCACTAAGCAACTCAGCAGGGAGCCAGGGTCCTCACTTTGTAAACATCCTTATCCTTGCAAAAGGAGGGCAGGGAGGCACGAGTAGCCTGCTTACAATACAAGGGAGGAAAAGAGGCTTGTACAAAAGTGAAATCTAAATGTCAGTGGCTACATACCTTCTCTGAGCTTCAGTGTCCTGGCTCAGTACCTACCATACAGCCCTAATGTATTAGCTACATGAGTTAATACGTGTAATATCTATAACATGGTACCTAGCTTACTTACTTTTTTCTCACTGCTGGGACAAAATATCCAGCACCCCAAATTAAGGGAGGAAAGGTTATTTAGTTCACAGTTTGTGGAGGTTTCAGTTCATAATCAGCTGGCACCAAAGCAAAGTGGCATGACACAGGGTCAACAGCGGAAGGAGGCAGAAGACAGCAAGAGCAGCAAGAGCAGAAGAGGGAAACAAGCACTCGGATCGTCTCCCCGGGAGCTCACAAAACAAAGGGACAGCTGAGTCAAAACTGAAGCATGGGACTTCCCAGAGGAACCCTTCCTTCACCTTCCATAATACTCAGATCAGAGGGTGCAAATGAGAGACTGGAGTCTGGATCTGGACTCTAGTTCTGTTTAAACTGCAACTAAGTCAAATTAGTTACCATCATGAAAAAAAATCCTGGGCATTTCAAATAAAATTCATATTGAAAAAAAGAGCAGAAAGTCCGACAACTTCAGGCTCACATTCCTTTTCTTTTTTATCCAGGGTCTCACTATGTAGTCCAGGCTGGCCTCGAACTGGTGAATCTCCTGCCTGGGTCTCCTGAGTGCTGGGATCACAGTTGTGTACCACCCCACTCAGCCAGGCTCACATTCTTACATGACAGTGACCAAGTGGAGCTTGGCAGCAGTTGGCCCTTTGGGGTAGGCTGTATCCAGCTTGCCTCACTCTTACCCTAGTTATTGAGGCCTTGTGTTGTTATCTGTCATTCATCAACATGTTTACTTGGGTGTTTTTCCTTTTTTTTTGTGATGTTGGGGATCATACCCAGGGCCATATGGATGCAAGGCAAGAGCTCTACCACTGGGCTACATCCCCACCCCCAGGCTACTTTTCATGAAGGGCAAAGGCTGTATTTCCTGTAACATGTCTAACACCTTTCCCTATCCGCGGTTTGCTTTGTTTCCCTGGCTGTGGTATGCATTTGAGTTGTGCTGCTATCCTTCTCTTTCGTCACTGGCAGAGTGAACTAGGTGAATAAGATGATTCCAAGGGCCTTTCTGGTTCTGGCTCCACAGCTCTCCAAGTCTGTACTTCAAAAGTGAGTCGTGCTATTGACAATGCTTAATTGTTCTGCAGATGGTTTTGAGCGATTGCTCACCCTTGACTCTTTTGTTCTTGAATTATGATTTATCGAGGCCCTGTGAAGAAAGTGCCTTTTGTTTTGGGGGTTTATCCTTCACCTTTGATTTGAACAAATGAGTGTTTCAAACAATTCAGCATAGCTGCAGTTGCTAGGAAGACAGAGAAGCAGCAAAGACTTCCTGGAGACCATCAGAAAACTCCTTTCTCTTTCCTCCTTCCCGTCCTTTTTCCTCTCTTTTCTTTCTCCTTTTTTGAGTAATGATAGATATTGCAATCAGTAACCTCTCCCACAAAGACCAGTCTTAGTCACCAGCACAGTTTAGATCGTCCTGAACTCAAAGGGTTATTTTTAATACTACCTCCCACCAGCCAATTACATGCCTGGAATAATCCAGGCTTGGAAACTACATAATCATTTCACTGTGAAGACATTTGTTTTCTCTGGGCCTCAATTTCTCTATCTGTAAGAGTGGAAAACATGGCTGAAGGCCCTTGCGATTCCTGTTAGTCATAACATTGAACAAGAAACTTCCAGAGGTTTAGAGAGTAAAGTAACACTAACAGGTAACGTCTGTGCCTGTGAGTCCAGGTCACCAAGGCAATTACATAAAAGGAAGGATTTCTGTCCAACTTTCTCAGAAGATGCCATTGGCCTCAAGTATCTACCTCGCTTGTTAATTTTTTTTTTCTTTTTTATTTTGAAAAGAATAAAATCAAATGAGAAAAAAAACAAAATGGGGCCATTCAAAACAAAAGGATGGACATGATACATTACTTAAAACCACAATACAAGGTGATCTACAATGGTTACCATGATGTCTCTTGTTATCTTCAATAAAATTGCCCATATCATCAGACACAATAAAATTGAACATAGCAGTATGGAACAAAATCAATAAAAACAAAGCATTGGAGACATTATAGGACTTCAAAAGAAGGTAATAGTCAAATCAGAACGGGATTCATAGTGAATCTCATTGTCCTCAGAGTAGTTGCCTATACTCTTACACTTGATACTATCAAATATAACAGATTCAAATAAAATCAGTCAAGACAAGATAGCGATCAAACAAATCAAATTAAAATAAAATCAGTCAAAACCAGACAGTGAAAGCAATACAGAGCTTCAGATCAAGTTACTAAGAAATCAAAAATGGTTACTGTAGTATATCCTG